ATTCTAGGCCCTTTTAGCTCTCACTTAAAAAAAAGAAAATCAAAATCGGACAATTAGCAACAGAGATATAGCACTTCAAAAAAGCGCTTGGCCGCCATCTTTAACGGCCGCCATCTTGGATCCTGCACGGATTTGAAAGTGGTTCTACGGACAAAAACTTTTATTTTTTCATCTAGTATGACCTCCCGAAGTGGCAATTTCCAATCAAAAAATCGTCGATTTTGATCGTACCCACCGTACTACTCCGCAGAAAATGTGCCCAACACGAGTAAAAGCGTCTCATGCACTCCTCCTCCTCCGGCACGTTCACTTGATGGTTTATATCGATGTTTCAAAACGAATGAGAAGGGGCGGCAAAATACAGACGGCCCATGGGCGGCAAGTAGGTAAATTCGGCCCTGCACTCAGTATTTATTCTTCTAAGAATCTCTGATAGACGTCTTGCTGAATCCAGTAGCAATGATATACCTCACCTTTGGCGCATGATTTCCATGGCGCACCGATTTGCATCTCTAGGGCTTCTACCTGGTTTGTTGCATTGTCTGGCTTGAAGTTGATGTGTTTCGGTGACGTCGTTCACATCGAAATCGACGAAAATGAGGTGGACGTTCTCCGGAACGGTCACACCGGGGGCCAGTTCATGGCTTCTGTCGAAATCGGAAGGCATTTTGGTTTCGTTCGAGGTCAGCCGAGCATTTTTGTGACAAGAGCGCAGTTCGCTAGACCCATCCTCTCTTTCTTTTTCGACGCAGGTCAGTAAGAATTTCTGGTTTGGATCCCCTGTTTAAAAGTAAGAACAGGAATTAATGGAGCAGTTACGTTTTCATCATGATTCGTGTCTTAGTGGTTAATCCGATTTGACATTAAGCTTCGCTCTAAAACCTCAATGGTTTCTGCATGTAAATCTTGAAACTTTTTTTCCGGTGGCTATCTGGACTACATTTCGCAAATCGGGAACTACAATTTTCGGCTCATTTTAAAAACCACGTATGTGCTATGCGTTCCCCCACGCGGATAGGTGATTTTATGAATGAATCCAAAATTGTTGATCCTTATTGAAAAATGATTATTCCATAAATTCCCTGATGAGCAGACTAGTGACTCATCCGACAACGGCCTCGATCAATTCACCGTCATGATCATGAATCTAGGAAAGAGGGGATGACGTAACAAATAATCGACTCACCGATGCTTTATTAAAGCAGACTTCTGGTGAATCATGGGAGATTTTCTTTTTTATATGGGTGCGTTCGTTAAATTAATGGATTATTTTCCGTTGCCTACTTCAGCTAAAGCAATGATAAGAGTTGTTCCTTTCAGCAAAATGGCTCAAAAATTGCGATGAACGCATCGGGCAAGTTTGAAATACACTCCTAACTTCACAATTTGCGTAAGAAATATGCCTTTTTTAAAGCTTCCAGCTTTAAAAGTGATACCTACTACAGCACTGGTGAAATTTCGTAAGAGGATTTGTTCCATCCAACCTTTTGCGCATCAGGATATTTCGCAATATTCAACATTGCCGGCGCTTCCGCGCGCAAATCGTGTGGAAGCACCTTTACTTTCGTCTTTACAAACGCAAGAAAATTGTGAATATAAACCCGCCGGTTAATAAAACCCCGTCTCACGAGTGTTAGCGTCGGCCTTGTTGTATATATTGCGTGACATCCTAGTGTGGAAGGGTTGGATGGAACGGCTCCTTTCACCTACAATACATGTTCGCCTGTGCCGTAGTATCGTTTTTGAAACGAAAAGCTTACAAAAACGCATATTTCTTACGCAAATTGTGAAATTAGGAGGGTATTCGAGACATTTCCGATGCGCTCATCGTGACTTTTGGGCCATTTCACATGAGATTTATTCTTCTCTTTGCTCCAACTGAAGTTTGCGATAGGCCCAGTATAGACAGTGTTTATTGTCCTCCTAAGTATAAAGATTTAATACGAGGTTGTTGTTTTTTTTTTGTTTTTTTTTGTTTTGTTTATTTGCCACATATTAGAGGTACCTGAAAACATTTTGTTGCAATGGAAGAAAAGGAAAGAATATAAGGACATAAAAGAAAGAAGATGACATAACACAGCTTGATTGAATTAAATTAAAAGATAAAATTAAACTATGATTAATATTAAAGTTAAAAATTAAATCAGCCATGGTCTTAATATGAGGTCGCCGCTAAACGCAATAGATTAAGACAGAAGGGCGTCACAGGTAGTGCTGTAATACTTGTTCTTACTGTGTTCATATTGCAATTGTCAAATATCAAGTCAATGTGCAAATATCAGTAGATCCAGAGATCCATTTTTATGAAATGAGGAAAATTGTGTGGATTCAATAAAATTCTTTTAAAATATGCATTCTGAAAAGTATGAAAAATTAGAGAGAGCAAGTGTTAAAAATTCTTGATGCCGCATCCAGTAAAAGGGGGAAATTTCCACTGGGAAAAAAATAAACCACGAGAATACTCTGTCTACCCTTTTTTACATGATCTAAAGTGAATTTGGAAGTCACGCAAGTGAAATTACATGTGCAATGCACGTGTCTCTCTCTCCCTTCTTGGTTTAATTTAATTTTTGCTGATGACTCAGAAGATCCATGAGCAATGGTGGATGAGATCAACCTTTAATTTCTTTTCTAACATTTGCACCAGGACTGAAAGGGATGCGGAAAGGCTTAAGGCGTGCGCATGACCTTTTGGAAATTGTCCTATTTTGGGCCCCTCCCAGGCATTAATGTATTCCAGTTAAATTTTGACTATTTTCCTCCAAAAATCAATTTACGAGTTCATGGCTCCTCGCGGTTTGCGCTGCATTTAGAGAAAATAATCCGATTTAGCTGAGCACTTGGTTTTGGTGCGTATACACACCTCTAGCGCAAAAGACACAGCATTTTGATCTCTCCTCTAAGGTGTTAATAAAGCACCAAATAAACGTATCTACCAACCAACCACACACAAAAAATGAAGAAACTATTAAGTTATAAGTTAGAACTTAGTTTCGATCGCATCTAATAATCTCCCTGCGAAAACCAATAACTACCTACTGTAGGTATACATTTGATGCCTGCTTTTCTCTTATTTTCCTTCCTTTTTTGGGAGGCACATTTACGAACGTGTCCCCCCCCCCTCCTGAATTTTTTGAATTTTAAATTAGGCATCGCTCAGCTACAGTGATGTCGGAGGTAAACTTTCCATCAAGTTCGTGTATGGCACTGGTACCTGTAATCCAGGTCGTTTGAAGGAATGTTTTGGGACCACTTACAATTTTACCGGAATTTAATGTTACTTTATTCTACCAGCGGAAACTAGTAACAGTTACGACCGTAAAAATGAAGAAAGACAATATTTCCACTGAGTATACGTATATATTTAAAGCGCGATTTAAAGAATTTAGCTGTCCTTGAATCGCCGTGTTTTCGAAACACACCGGTTCAATGAAAAATATTAATAAGTTATAAAACGAAAAACAATGACGATAATCAGAAAAATGTTGAAATGCGGATAAAAGCGTCCTCTATTTAATTGTACCATTGCCAAAGATGACCTGATATTGATCGCAACGCCTGGATGCAACAATCCCTGCTCTATGGATGTCCGTATTGCATACCCGAAACATGAAGGCGTTTCCAAACGCGCCTCGGCCGCCAGAATGGAACCATATGACGCGGATTTTTCTCGTCAAAATGCCTCCTCGCAGATGTCTATTAAGCCAATTTCAAAATCTACAGCTCGTAAAAAGCGAGAGGGTTTTTAGAAAGTCTTAAACAGATGTGTTTTCTTTTTCCGATTATACCTTCAGACTGACAGATTCGAGTCTGAGGATGCCTGACATTTGTCAGATGAAGACGCATTATAGAAATCGGGAAAAAATAGAAGGAGAAGAAGAGGAGGAGGAAGAAGAAGAAGAGGAGGGGGAAGAAGAAGAAGAAGAAGATGATGATGATGATAAAGAAGGTAAATAGATAGAAACAGAACAAAATCAATAAGAGGAAGAAGAAGGTATAAAGGAGGACGAGAAGAAAAAGAATGAGAATAAATCGTAGAAGAAAAGAAGGAATAAGAAGAGGAGCGAAAAAAGAGAGGAGGAGGAAGAATGATTAAAAGAAAAATTAAAGGGAAGAAGTGAAAGGAGCAGGAGAAGAAGAGTTTATTTTCCTTCCTCCTCCTTCTCCTCCTTCTTTTCCTTCCAGCTTCTTCTTCCTTCTTCTTCCTTCTTCTTCCTCCTTCTTCTGCTCCTTCCAGCTTCTTCTTCCTTCTTCTTCTCCTTCCAGCTTCTTCTTCCTTCTTCTTCCTCCTTCTTCCTCATTCTTCCTCCTCCTCCTTCCCTCTGTTTTTCTTCTTAGGGTCTAATAATCTGTATGATAATAAAACCTGTTTCCGAGGGGCTTTGTAAATATATCTCATCGTCTCGGTAAACCGGGTCTAAAGGAATCGAGCCCATTGAATCAGGGTTAAGATAAAATATGGTGGGGTTCACTTTTACGAAGATTCTAGGACCAAGCACGCGCCAGGGGAGCCACTTACTGCATTTGGTAATGTCTATGATCTTTCCATAAATGAGAAAAACATTTATTTGGTTCCATCTGATGATATCAACACTGCAGGAGTGTTGATATCGAAATTCAGTCCTCAGTCCACTCGATGGCTTCTTTCCTCCAGAATGAGCATTAAACACGCTCTACACGAGGATCCTCGGGGGTATGTGACTTAGAAGAAGCTGAGGTCTAACTGTTTTGAAGTCTGAAAGTTAAGAATAGTTAGGTTATGTTGTACAAAAGTCGAAAGTTGTTACCAGTTTTTACGCCTCGCAATAAATCGGCCAGGGTCTCGTTGGCCGTCACGTCATCGATTGTTTCGTCCAAAAAGGAGACCCAATGCTCGACTGTTTCTTCTGCAAGTTTCGAGCACCAAATGATCCCATGGTCCACATAAGAGCACATTATTGAAATTTGTTTTGCACCCTCCGCATCTGTCGAATATGTACGATGGGTCAATGAAACCGAGTGCGCTATATTTAAAGTGCTGGGTACAAAAAGGACAATCTTGGTTGCAATGTCTCAAAATCTCCGCTAACATTTCAACCATTATAATTAAAGCAGATCCATATCATTTGTTGTAACTTTCACGAAATATTTGTTATGATTTTACCGTACTGAAAACGTGATGTTTCAAAAATTTCACCCAATAGTTTCCTCTCTAAAATACAAATTAGCTCTGAAGATTCTAAAACACCGCATCTAAGAAATACCTTTTCTGCACCTAACGCATCATGTATCACGTAATTATGGATGGATACTTAGGGTGTCATTTTAATTTGAAAATTTTCTTGCAATAGAAAGCAAATCCTTTTTGTCTTTTTCCAGCACCTGGCTCCTGGCTTGCTGAATTCTTATCGCACTTTCATTGCATGACCCTAAATCTGAGAAAAACATTGCAAAGATAAAATTAGTTGTTCAAATTCATTCACTAAAAATTCGATAAAGATCCAACAGTAGACTCACGGTTAATAAAAATCTGTTTGTGCGCTAATTCTAGCATTAATTGACAGACCATGAACAAATGCATGAGATTATCAATTCAAGTCTGAAAATGTTAAATTAATGACACTTGTAGTAGTTACAAAGTCACAAAAATGATCATTCGTAAAATTTAACTTCATCCATAATTATCGGTTAGCTATTTTCTGATACATTTTAGTACATCTTCTCACCGCAGAAAAAGTAATCCAATCTTTGATCCGTCCTGCATGTTTTAGACTCTCTGGAGTCTCAAGGTTAGGTTAATGATCAAACAAAATAGAGATTCTGTTGATGTGTTGAATTTGAAACCACAAAATACGACACTATCTGGGAATGGAACTTGTGCGACCGGAGAGAAAAATGTACAACTTTATACCAGAATACAAAATCCGGAAGTTTGTAAATACGTACACCATTATTTGAAGGGTTCGATATTTGAAGATCGCAATGAGCGATGACCTCGGTGCACGTAGACTTGTTTAGTGGCAACGTCATTCGATATGTATATAAATAATGTAGGAAATGAGCAAGTAAAAAGGACGCGCGTTGATGACGGCGCAGGGATACAACTATTCGTGCTTGATGGATGCCCGTGTCGCATCTGAAAAATTGTAGGCGCGATGGCGCGAGACGTGAACTCCCAATGCTTCGCTCTATGCTTCTGAGGTGTCACTCAGAGATCCGGAAGAAAAGTTAAAATCGAGGCCCGATTAAGTCTCTTCTATTTTTGACTAGGTTGCTCACTTAACCCTTGAAGCACTACTACTAATAAGATAAACGGAAACAAACACAAGATGGAAATAGAGCATAGGAAAGGACACGCGTCGATGACGGCGCAGAGATACAACTATTTGTACTTGATGGATGTCCGTGTTGCGTTTGCAAAATTGAAGGCGCGATGACACGCTGCGTGAACTGTTGAATGCTGCCGATGAGGTATCGCTCGGATTCGGGAGAAAAGTTAAAAGACGAGGCTCAAATACGTCTCACATATCTTCGGCTGTGTTAACATTCGATTTTTTTCTTTCTTTTTTCAATTTCACGTCTCATTCCTACTTTAGGATGTATTTGTAGAACTGTATTTGATGCTCTTGTTTACCGGCCCCATAATTCCCACAGAAGAGATAGTCTAGTCAATTTTACCAGCTCGGGATTTCTAGGGGAAGTTGTTAAAAAATTCCCCGACATTAGATTTTTTTTCTTTTTTTCAATTTGCGTCTGATTCTTTTTTTAGGATGGATTTGTAGACCTATATCTAAAGATTGTACGCACCGGCCCCTACAACCCGCGACGCACGTGTTTTTAACTAGTGTCGGGTCAATTTGACTTAACTTGGGCATCTAAGGATTAAAGGACTCATGAATTGATTTATCACTTATTCATGAGGAAATCGTCATGAATGAACGAGAAATCCACTCTGGATAGAATTTTAGTCACGTTTTGAATATTTTGGTTATGTTCAATTGTGGCAATTGGAGAGCAATCGCCCAAGTGCAGTTTTTTGATGCAAAAATTGAAATACTGATTATTTCAATGAGAAAATATACAGATAAAATATAGAAAAAATATAGATAAAAAAATGATGAATAGAATGATGATAGATGAGAAAATATATAGATTATTTCTTGAAATATACTCTGTGAAAAATTCACTCCAAAAATTAAATTTTTAAGCAACAAGAAGTATGTTAAAACTTCATTTCCGTTATTCTAATTTTTCACTCTGGAATCATTAAACATGGATAGGTTGAATATTGTAAGGATGACGTAGCTCTACTAAATCAGTCCACCGTGGCGAGATTAACCAGGTTCAGCAAATAATGAACTCGTAATGGACCACTAGACAAGGTACGAATTTCAGCATTCTGATACATGTTTCTTCACCAACATTTCACGTAAAACACGATGCGCACAACGAAAATTACCGAAATCAACTCCTTCCGAAGATATTTAATGATTCTTGGTGCGTGAATTGAAACCACCCGCTCATGAAAACTCAATGCTCTACGTGATTCACATCGCGCGCTATACGTTTATCATGAACGTCTCTGCGATAAAAAAATCTGGCAACCTCAATCTTGACGCTCTGGCTCAGCCATAGCAAGTTACTTATAGTTTGGAGAACACATGGTAGGAAATGAACATTGCTCGAGCATTGCTTTGTTGGAGTGCGCGATTTGACTCGCGTAGAGCTTTGAGTTGCTTGTGAGCGGGCAGTTCAAATTCCTCGTAACCAATGTGGAATAAAAATGTTAATATCTCCGTGAGGAGTTGGTTTCAGTAATTTTCGTTGCGCGAATCATGTTCTACGTGAAATTCTCAATAAGAAACATGTATCAGAATGCTTAAATTCGTACCTTGTCTAGTGGTCCATTTCTCAGAAAGGCATTCAAGTCAAAATAATCCTTAAAATTCGTCAGAAAAGGGACGCGCTTAGAATTGAATCTCAGGGAAGTCTCATTTTCGTATGCGAATTTTAAATCCAGGGATTGATATAGGTAATCACTTTGAATCGGGTCAAAAATAATTAATCTGACATCACCGTCATTTAAATTAAGCAACATTATACCCATGAATAATAATTGCACTAGGTCATCTTTCAAAACCACTTCTAACTTATTTAGAAGTTTGACCGATCCATAGACCAATTAGAAGGCCAAATAACAGAGCATCGATTCGATCTAAACACGGATGGTAAGCATTTATTAGAGAAGAAACCACGTGGATAAGCACACATATAAAACCACCGATATGCACAGGGAAATCTACGCGCGTGTATGTAGTTTCTGGATTGAGCTAAGCGAATTAGCTCCATTTTGATACAAGCACAGGTTGATTAGTGACATTGTAAAAGGGAACACTCACTCGTACTGGATACGAATTGTAATAGACTTGAAAAAATTAAAATCGAATGATGAAGCCGAAAAACTTTTAACATCCTGTATGTCAGCTCACATGGTAATGCCATGTATTCCCATAATGGAAGCCCCTCTTTCATCACGACTCACTCGCTATGATGACATTTTTACCGGCTGAGTCGAAGCATTTTTTTCACCACAGCGAGTGTTGGCACACGCAGTGTTTGCCTCATCGGCTTGATGGAAAAAAAAATATTTCGAACAGCGTTGCTGCTTTTTAAGAGGAATTGCCTGATTTGCGCATGAAAGCCAACGGAAAGTAGGAGAATTTCAGAGGAAAATGGATGGCGCTGATTTTAAGGCACTGTTGCTGCAGTATTTACGTGCTTGTGACGTAAACTTAAGGGTCGACCAAGAGTCGCATTTTGAATGACGAAACTGCGCGGAAACTTCTTCATTCAGAGACGGGGAGAAGGTTACCTGTGATTGGCTGATTTTTTTTCTCGCATGTCTGTTGCGCGCAAGAGGTAAAGACAGGTGAGTAGATTTCTCACAGGGAAAATTGCTCCAAAATCACGTTGTGCACTCGAGAATTGTCTAAAATTCACTCTCTAATGCACAGTCTTGCGCAGGCTCTATGACGTATGTTCAAATTTAGTGCGTCTACGGGAGTTTCCGCCTCAGCTGCTGACAGTTAGGTTCGCCCGAAAAAAGTTGTAGAAAAACCTGATCAAAGTAAACGCACAATCTCAAAAATTGCCACACATCTCAAGTACGAATAAATTTCAATAGTTTTAAAGTATCTCCTTCTGTAACACAAGAAAATGAAGAAAAATACAAATGGTTTAAAACGATTGAAATCATTCGTGAGAGAAGGTTTTGCGAGATTGTTGCGAGTATAGATTTGATTATCTGGTGTCTAAGGAGACATTACCACCGGCGAATCAGGGCGCTGCCCTCTAAAAGCCGTCCGCATTAATAATAGCGGACCGCGTTTAACAGAAAGGAACCAAGCCACATCCGCCATTGCCAAATTTAATCGGGCAATTTAATTTTTTACGAGAGAAAGTCAGTGTGGATTTCTCTGAAAATTTCAAGGAATTAGCTTGGTACTATGGAGAAAATTCACCGAAATTAGCAAGAAAATCTGCGCAGCCGTTTTCATGTGAAAAATTAAATTGCCGAATTAAAGTTGGCAACAGCTGATGTGGCTTGGTTCCTTTCTGTTTAACGCGGTCCAAATACGGTTCGGCCGCGGACGCTTAGCATCACTGTTTCAGGTCCTCGCCATCGCTCCAGCCAGCTCTGCTCCTGCTCACCGTCTTTGAGCACAGCTCATAATTTCCAAAACGGCCCTTTTCAGGGCCACAAAATTTTCAGCTCGGGTTTTGCCCTCACAACTGTCTCTCTCGGCCAACCTGATTGCCTGAAGCGTAGGAAGTAGCTGCGGACGCGGGGAGTTTGAAAATGCGCGAAGAAACTCCGCAAATTGTGCGATAAGTTGAAGATTTCAGACGACGTGTTCGTCGTAATTTGTGCGCGGTTTACCCATGAAAAGTCTTCTCAGTTAGACCTACTTACCTCTTACATCGATGGCAAAACTTCAAAACCACTAATCTCCGTTTGCACTGTTGCAGACTTCCTGTCATACCTTATGTTTTCTTTGGAATAGCAGTCAAAATTATTTCTTAAGACTCCCTCCTTTCAAGCTATAAAATTAGCTTGTTTCTCTTCGAAAAAATAAAATAGAAGCGAAAGTTTTGAGACATCGCATGGTTCCGCACCATGGCCATCGATATGCAGCTTTCAAGAAGCCTATTCCGGCAATCAGCCGAGACCAGAGACCAACAGTTAGTAGATGAATGTAGAGTTCGTATTTTTTTTCGATTTGATGGCGTACGGTCAAAATCTGCTACGACTGGAATGATGGGGGAGACTATGCCATAAACGAGGCAAGGGAAAAAGAGGCAGGAAAGAGAGCATTCACGAGCAATCAAAGAAGTCTATATTGAATAGGTAACAGAGAGAATGGAAAACCTGGCTACAGCCTCATACGGCTCGCGCCTTACAAGCTAGGCCGCCCTTAAGAAGCATCTAAACATAGAGTACATAGAGTCGTAATGCAAGTTGGGAGTGCTGGCGCCTCTTTTAAGCATTTTCCAGGCCCCGAATTCCGAGATTTCTATGCGGCGCCGGGTCCCTTTTTCGATACATAATCGATCGTTTGCGATACGCGGGGACCCGGCCATATTCCACACCGCCATTTTGGATCGAATATGTATCGGAAAAGTGACCCCGCACACCGGGCTCGGAACTCGTCGAGCGGAACATGGCGCCAGCTCTCCAACTTACATTACGACTCTATGTACTCTGTGCATCTGAACCACATTGACTTGAAATTTTCTCGAGAGTCCCCCGCGTGTAAACACTTTACTTACTTATTATACACATCACTTAAAATAAATTCATGGTTTCCAAGTTGAAGCGACTTCTGCCTGAACATTAACAAGAAGCAGATTTGACCTTTGGATTTGACACGTAAGGGCTCTTGAGTTTACGTGCATTGCTGTTTTTCCCTTTTGCTCAAAGATTCAATTTTAAACTAAGTAGAAATGTCACCTTGATAGTTGTGACTTACGTTTCACACTCTTAGGGTCTTAGGACTATTAAATGACATGTTAAAAGATAAAAAATAACCTTCATAGGTCATTCCATATTATATTATATCATGTAAAAAATTATATTTTCTCATAATTCAGTTCTAATTGAGCAGGAGTGTCAAAAACGGCCATGACTCACTTCTCACACTATTAGGAACTTTAAATGGCCTTTTTAAAAACAAAAGTAACTTTTTCAGGTCATTTTATACAAAAACTTACATTATGTCGAAAATTGAATTTACTTATGTATTCAGAAATTAAGAATTCAAGGAGCTATGCCTCCTTTCACAATCTTAGGAACATTAAATGACTTTTTTTTTCAAAAAAAATAATTACTTTTAATGGTAATTCTGTTAAAAAAGTAACATGTCTGTAATTTAATTTACTCATAAATTCAGCGGAAATTCAGAAGGAGAGTTGAAATTTATCATGACTCTCTCTAAACTTTAAGAAAATTAAATGGTCTTGCCTACATTCCCTTTATTTTTTTCTTCACTGGCCCTACAGTCACACAGACTCGGGTCTCAAGAGTCCCGTCATACTTATTATGTTCGGACAGGACGCATTAAAAATTGGAAAAAAGAGGAGCAGAAGAGGAAGAAGAAGACAAACTAGGAGGACCCGAGGAAAACGATTAGAAAGAAGTAGGAGGAAGAGAAAAATAAGAAGGAGTGAAAGAGAAAAAGAAGGAAGAGGGGGAAGACGAAAGGGAGAGAGAGAGAAAAAGAAGAAGGAGAGAGGGGAAAGGGAGAGGATGATAATGATGAAGGAGAAAATAAAGAGGGAAAAGATGAGAATGCAGAAAAAGAAGAAGAAGAAAAGGGAGAAGAGAAAGCGAAGAGGGGGAAAAAGAGAGAGAAAAAAAGCAAGAGAAAATTTTATTTTCCGTCTCCTCTAACTCCTTTTATTTTTTTCTTCTTCTTTCTTTTCCACCTTTTTCTGCATCCTTTTCTCTTTTTTCTTCTTCTTTTTATTTTCCTTCCCCTTTCCGTTTCCTTCCTCCTCTCACACGGGCTTGAAACCTTTCTCCGCGGGACCCTGAATTGGACCTTCAGATTTACCCACAAGACCTGAGTGAATTAAACTTGAGTTAAGTAAGCGTTTCGAACTCTTGCCACAAAATTCAACCTTTCCCTTTTTCAAGGTAGTCATACTTATACTTGCGCGGGGGCTTGCGGAGCTCGTAGCCTGCATTCTGGAGCTGCGCGAGGGGCGCAAGGCGCAAGGCAAGGTCTTGGGCGTTGAGGGGCTTGCGGCTCCAGCCCGTGACGGGCATTGTGGGCGTGTCGTCGTCGTTACGCCTTTTTTCCTCTTTCCTCTTGACGACCCTGTTGTTATGCGGTTTCAGGTGCTCCGAGGCCGACAGGTCCCAGTCGTACGGGCGGGCGCCGTCGACGAGGTCAGTGGAGTCGGTCATAGACGACTGCGCGTCGTCGTCATCCTCTTCGGGCTTGTCCGTAACCTCCGCGGGGTCGTCCTTCGTCGAGTGGCTGAACGAGGGGAAGAGCGTGGCCGCCAGGCGGAAGATCCGGGCCTTCATGGCTTCTGTCAGTGTTACCCGCGGCTTCAGAGGTTTCTGACCTTGTGGTGAGGGACGAGGCCCGGGAGGCTGTTGCGGTGACGGGGAAAGCGACCTCGAGCGGTCAGGCGACGTCTCGGCCGTGCCCGCTGATGAATCGCCTCTCTCACGGGGCTGCAAGGATAAAGCTTTTGGTTAATTGTAATCTGACAGGGTCTGTCAGACAGACTTAGATCGTCGGATATTTGTAGGTGACAAGTGGGGACCTATTCGAAATTCGGAGCAAGAGAGAAAAACAAGAGAAAAAAAGAAGAGGTAGGCGAGGAATATGATAAAGTGAGGGAATAATAAGAGGATGAATAGGTATGGGAAAAAGAAGCAGTGGCAGAAGAAGAAGAGAGAAGGTGAAGAAAAAGAGGAACAAGAATAATTCCGTTTTTTGGCTTTTCTTTCTCTTTATCATCATCATCATCATCATCATCATCATTATCTTCTTCTTCTTCTTCTTCTTCTTCTTCTTCTTCTTCTTCTTCTTCTTCCTCTTCTTCTTCCTCTTCTTCTTCTATTGCTTCTTTTTCCGATGCCTCTTTGTCCTCCTTTTCTTATTCCTCTTAATTTTTCTCTGCCTTCGCATTTACTTTTTTTCCTTTTTCACTCTGTTTTTTCACTCTTCTTCTCCTTACTACTACTAGTTTCTTCTTTTTACATAATCCCTCTCTTCTATTCCTACTTTCTCACCTTCATCTCCCCCCAATAATATAAATGTTAGGATTCTTAAGCTATTGTGAATATCGACGGTGAAAGTCGGCAATCACATAACTCGGTTTGCGACGTCGCAGACTTCCTGTCATACTTTATTTTTTAAATGGAAAACTACTCAACGGCAATTCTTTAAAACTGTCATGATTTTTTTCTTCTCAATACGAAGAAAATTCTGCAAAAACTTCAAGAAATAATATCAATTTGTTCTCCTTTAATAAAATGACGTAGAGGCGGAGATTTTCAGACACCGCAAACGAGTTATGTGATTGCCGACTTTCACCGTCGATATGTGTATTTTAAAAACACCCATTTTGCTTAGCTCTAGTCAATTTTATGAAGCCGGCCTTAATAGGCCTCGCCTCGTATGAGCCCATGAAAAAGGCTCTTTTTCAAGGTGTGACATTTTAATTGGACCGATTCTAACGTTAACTTTGAGGGCTAATGTATTACCTATAAGTGGATTTTAGGAATATTGTGAATGTTTTCGGCGTTATGGGTAAAATTTTGACGATGGACACGTCCGATTATATATGTATTTACCTGCCTTGGTTCATTTCACCCACCTTATATCGCCTGCCAGAGAAGGGTGCCGCGCATTGGTCAATCGCGGAGGATACGACTTCTCCAATACTAGAGTAGCTGTTTTTGCTTAGCTGTCAAATTGAAGGCGAACAACACTCCTCAGACGGCGTAAGTGCGCAATCACATATCTCGTTTGCGGTGTCTGAAAATCTCTGCCTATATATTACTTTTTAAAGGAAAACAAATTGGCACCATTCCTTAAGGTTTATGCAGAATTTTCTTCACACAGAGAGGAAAAATCTCATTAGTTTTTATGAATTCATGTTCAGTAGTTTTCCGTTTAAAAAATTAAGTATGACAGGATGTCTGCGACGTCGCAAACCGAGTTATGTGATTGCCGACTTAAACCGTCGATATTCTGTGTTTGTGTGGTTATCTTCCATTATAATGTTTCACTTCCATTTTGAGTTATCTCTATCCTAATTTTTTATTTATCTAATTATTGAAAAATGAAATTAAAATGTGACAGTGCCCTACCAGACAAGGATGTACATCAAGTAGCATAATTGACGTATTCTTAACAAAATTTCATGGAGAACACAATGTACGCATTTGGAGCTTTGTTAAACTTAGTGTCGAGAAAACGAATTTTAAACACATGCGGTAAATTTTTTTTTCTTCTCGTGTTTAATAATCTATTACTTGGTCAGATCAAACGTATTTTCAAAATGTGCTATGTCTCCATTTTTCCATTTTCTGTAGCTTCAATAATTCCCACAAAAGTGTCATATCATGCCCTGTTTCAATTCATAACTGTAACCTATCCCTATAGTCTAACTGATTCGGGTCTTACCGACCTGGGTCTTAGTCATGCACATCGAAGAAAAAAGGAGGAGAAGAAAAAGAAAGAGAAGAAGAAGGAGAAGAAGAAGAAGAATGAGGAGGAGGAGAAGGAGGAGGAGGAGGAGGAGGGAGTGAAAGAAAAGGAGGCACGAAGTAGGGTGAAGAAAAGACGAAAAAATGAATTCTCTTTTTCTTCTTCTGTATCCATTTTCCTTCTTCTCATGATTCACCCTCTTCTTCTACATCTTCTCCTTTTTTTTTTATCGATTTCAAAGATACTTTAGGAGCTCTAAAACCCAAATCTGATAGGTCAGCGTTTCAGTAGTAACTAAATTATACCAGTTTTGAATTTACCTTAAATGCTCGCGTCATTATCAGTATAATGATTCTACCTCAAATTTTTCTAAAACGTAAACGTCACTAGTTTTTCAAGTTAAGAGTTCAATAAATTTTAATAAGTGCGAAAAATTGGATGAAGGTTTTTTAGAAAGAGTTTATTGTACCTGGACCTGTCTGCTGACATTATTTTTCGACTGAAGCGCTGATGTGTCCTTCTTTGTCCTTGCTAAGGATTGTAAAGGCGTCTTACGAAGGAGCCACGCAGATCCTTTTTTAATACCACTCACCAAATTACGCACGTGTGTGGTCATGGACTTTTGGCGTTTTTTACCGGGCAGAGGGCGTTTCCTAAAAAAATTACAGAAATTTACATTTTTGTACACCGAAAAAAATAATATGCTGTTTTAGCACCTAGGATGTTAAAAATGTGTCTGGTGATCCGGAGTTGTTGTCCTTACTGCCCTCGCAGTTAACTTTAAATCCTGTGAATGCAAATTTAACTCTGTAGGCAGTTAAGGCAGCATCTTGAGATCACCAGACACATTTTGAACATCCTAGGTGCTAAAATAGCATATTATTTTTTTCGGTGTAAGTTTCAGTTCTTAGGCAATGAAAGCTATACAGATAGTTACCTAAATTACCCAATCAAACACTTGTTTATATTCATTTGACTCATCTCGATTACAAAAAAGTAAATTAATGAAGCATTGACAAGAGTATAAAAAGTCAGAAATTGTAAAAATGTACCAGGTGTGTAATATGTTGTTTTTCATGCATGTAATCTTATCAACCTTTTGGGTAACCTTTTCCCCATGTAAGCACTAAGCGAGCAGTTGTCTCAAAACGATTATCAACTAACCAAGGCCAATCTCGCCTCTATAAGTAATTCTTTTTCTCTCTTTTTTTGGACTTGATTTAGAGTTTTTACAGTTTACTGAGAGCAAAATCGATGACGGTTTCAGCGGATTGATGCAAATAATGAGATTTTCCGACCTTTCCTTTGGATCATAATGCTCAAATTTCTCACGTTGTAGATACTGTAGAGTTATGAGTTCATTTTAGACTTCTTTGATGTGCTCAACGTAAATTTTTAGCCAATTTCCAGAGAGAGAGAGACTTCTCTTCTCGCTTAAAAAAAATTAGGGACTGGCCCATCTCGTGTTGTTTGGTTCTAAGACCCCTCTCCATATGAACGGTAAAATTTAGTTTATTTTGATGCCATATGAGTACCTCCTAGTATTCTTGACCACGCTGTAACCACCACTAGATCTTGAACTTGAACCTGAACCTGGACTTGAAAATGAACCTGAACTTGAACTTGATCTTGAACTTGAACCTGAACTTGAACTTGAACTTGAACTTGAACTTGGACTTGGACCTGAAAACGAAACTCGAGGGCTGGAAATTTGCCGTTGGACTCTATTGTCTCTAACTTGGAGTTGCTGATTTTGTGGTTCCTCATCTTTATTCGACCCGAGATCAAGAGGCTCTGGTAAATCTGCTCCGAAGTTGGAAATGTCTGAGTTTTCTTTGTGCGTCACGCAGATCAGCGGTCCACTATTTTCAGGATGACTGCTTTGAGACGATGGAGGATTTGTTGACAAATGATTGCCGCCCTTTTTTGGGTATGATATTGAACTTCGCTGAGCTGAAAGTCCTGCATGAAATTCAAAAGTTTTTTCGAAATTAATGAGAAGGTTGAAACAAAATCATAGCAATTAATTCGTAGCAAGTCAACGACTGTTGCAAAAAATTTTGGAATACTCGTAAATTGTAAAAGAATAACTTTTAAAAAATCGGTAAAAATGTATGTTTACAGTATTTTTTACCTCATCTTTATTCGACCTGAGATCAGTCGATCTCAGTATAGTTTACAGTATTTTTTGAGACAACTCTACTACAGGTACTACAGGCTACTTATTTAAATGAGCTATGCTATTAAAAATTTCACAAATATTACCAGCCTTCTCGATTTGAAAGAATTCAGTGGTGATCTTAGAGTGTGTTCCATAATCAGCTGCGTCATCGATGAGGGCGGCCCATTGTTCGATCGAGCCCTTGAGAGATTTAGGACACCAAATTATTCCACCCCTAAGGTGAAAACACGTCATCGAGGTTTTTTCAGCGTCCCCTGCCATTGCTAGAAATGACACACCATACAATGAGTACGTGACCACTCAACGTGAAAGGACCCTACAGCGCCGAAAAATTCAAAATTTAGGAGTCGGGGCTTCTATATTTGATCAATGAATCAGCACTAGCTAGGGCACTAGAATCAATAAATGGTAAAGGAGTGCTCACCCAGTTACCTCTATTTTACCTTTCATCTTTACGTTTCATTTCTTTAGGTACATTGATCCTCGCTATAAGAATTTCACGAACAGAACAGAAACTATCGTTCAAATGTATCTTTTTGCAACGACGCCTAAAAGATCTGCCAAATGATTAAAACGATTTCCGAGGGAAAGTGAAGAAAACTCGTGAGCAATTGTGTATAACGGCTCGGATACCCGGACTATCACAGCGTCACATGAGAATATCGGATTCCCCATGGTTCATTATTGACCTCCTCCTCTGCCCCCCTCCCCGTACCCATATCCAATAAATGAAAAAAAATGCAATGCTGACGGTGCCTCTATCTGCTGTAATCATGTATAATGCTGTTTTACCGCGAAATTTCACCAGGAGGACCCGCAGTTTATCACATATGCTGTTTACATTTAACCTCCGCGATGGGAAACTTGAGGTCCGCAGTGCCTCCCTTTATAATGAAATTTCTAGGCTTCAAATTATCAAACGATGGCGCTTCTTGCATTATTCTTAGGTAAAATTTTACGATCTAAAATATTTGTTCAGTAACTTTTCACTCTAAATTGAACGGTTCAAGAGGAAAATCGGTCATTCTCATGAAATCCGCGATTGATGTTAACTATCAATTTTTTTATGATGCAATTTTCTGGGGTCCAATGTCACCGTATGATCCTCAGAAAAAGGTTTTCCGTAGTAAAATTTTATCCTCTAAAAATTTGGTTCAGTAACATTTGGCGCTAAAACCAATAGTTTTGGCGCAAGATAGGAATTTAGGAGGAAAAACGTGCAAATTTTGGAAATTTTTTCAGTTTTTCGGCCATTTTGGGGTGAAATTTTTGCGGCCTTTTGGCGACCTTTAGATATTCGGATTCTGCTGATTTTTCTGCGTTTTTTGATGTATAAAAACCTTTTCTTGCAATTTTGTCCGGGTCCAACCAAATCTCGCCCCGACTAAAAAGGATCCCTCCTTACTCCTTTTGTTTTCTTTGTCTATAGCTTTGTCTATCACTTTCAATCATCGACCCGCTGGGCAGCAGGTGTGTTCTACCTCATTGTTTATAATGTTGAGAACACTCCAGTTGATTAGATGAGCACAATATTGAAAAATTCAGTGGAAAAATTGTATTTTTCCCGAATTGTGCCTTGTATCTAGTATTTCTCGGGAAGAACATCATTATACACATTATGCGCCCGCATGTATTTTATATGCTCGTCAAAATTCAAAGTAACCACTCAAACCGAAAGCTTCCAAAAATGTGTCGCATTTGCGCCCATTGTAAATTTTTTCGCGGAATATCTTTTTGCTGCATCTAAATAAGAGCGTTGTCAAGGTCTTTTTTCTACAGGATTTGGCTCTGGTTTTTTTTTATCATTGCGCAGGATACTTCTTTTAATATTTTAATAATACGACAGAAAATCATTCGTTCATGAAGCTTTATACTAGCTCGAGCTCGTGTCACCGTGGGTTATAAACGACTCAGGGAAAAACGATTTCAAACCAAGTTGTTAAATCAATAGGAATCCTTAAAATCATCCCTGCCAAAAAAATATGATAAATTATGATTATGTTTAATAATATGAGACTTTAGAGGCTGAAAATATTCGGTCGATTACGTGCGTCGCCCACCCCGATGCAAGAGAGCAATTTGCGGTAATAAATCAGTACCGCCCTGGTAAAAATTGGCGATAGAAGCTGCGTTTCAAAATACCATAGGAGTTCTTATAGCCGACTGAAGAGGGCGATAGAAAATCATATAGCTGGCTGTAGAAAGTGGAAAAAATCATACGGCCGGGCTACACGAAGCGATAAAAAATTATACAGCCGGGCTATAGTTCCTATCGCCGGGCTTTGCAATTTATCGCCTGGCTGTTGCTTTTTCGCCATAGGCTATAAAAGGCTGTAAGAAATTGTGTAGAAATTCTTGTGCTTTGTAAATCCTTAAGTTTGTACGGAATCACCTTAATATTTACAAAACGCACATTATATTTTCCTTTACCACACATTTTTTTTCATCAATTAAAATGAGAATAATCCATACAGAGTGTGCAAACATTTCAAGGTCATGAGTTGAAAAACGCTGACTCCGCAGCGAGATTAAATATTAGAGCCTAACACAAAGCGGAGCGGCGGCGCACTGGCGCCTACAAACCTAACAGGGATACTTCACGCATTGCGCAATGCGTGAAGTATCCCTGTTAGATTTGTAGGCGCCAATGCGCGTTCAGCGCTGGCTGCCCGCCGCGCCGCAGCGTACCGCGGCGCTTAAGGCAACCATTTCACACCAGAGGTATTGCACAGTATCATACGAAATTGAAGGCGCTCCATCATATTAGGAATGGCAGGCATCCTTCAAAAGTACGGAGCTGTCCTCGCAAATTAACTCAAGATACTGCGGCCCAAAAAGAGAGGGGTAGTCCAAAAACTCACTAAGTCCTAGCATCCGTAATTAGTAACGTTTGGCATACACTTTATCGCCAGGCTGTTGCTTAATCGCCATAGGCTATAAAATGCTATAAGAAATTGTGTTGCCGGCTATAGAAGCTATTGGAAACCTTACAGCCGACTGTAGGTCTATGGTATTTTGGAACACAGATTCTACTGCCAATTTTTACCAGGGCGGTCATGGATTCTCTGACAATATTTGCCGAAAGGAGATTGTGGTGTTCAAGAAAATTACCATTTTGAACTAAAGTGTTCTTTTTTAAGCGAAAAAAGTCATTAAAGAGAAGTGTCGCCACATTTGGCAACATATTCTAGCAGCTGCAATGAAGTTCTGTGTTTATCTCGTTGGGTGGAGCCAGGAGTTTCAAAACAGTCATCGAATTGTTCGCTGAAGTCTTCTCGACCAAACCACAATAAATACTTTAATTTTGATGAAAACCAGTCGTTTTGGGTCGTCGCACTGATTCCTCACTTCAAAAAAGCCATAACACAGTATTTTGAAACTAAAAGAAGGTCCCCAAAGTTTAGAGAACTTTTAAGGCTGCATATTTCACCTTATTTCTCAAGAATCGCCAAGTTCCATCTTTTGTTTCATTTTTTATTTCACATTTTCAAGTGTCGGCTACGTAACCGACACAATTTGGCAGTGGTGCCATGTTTGCGTGGACACTCACCTCCAGCAGTCCTGCGGGAAAAGCTTACAACTGATTCAATGGCTTGTTTGACAATCACAATAACTTTTCACTGAATCGAAATAGTTTATGACAAAGCAGGAAAAAGAAAGTTTAATAACTTTAAAACGAAGTAATGACATTTGGTTAAAATGGGTGCACTTATATTTTTAAGGCGTTGCACATTTCAGCTGGTCCTGTTATCATGAAATCACCCAGATATATAACTATGTTTTACCAGAAGGTGAAGCACACATCTGAACGAAACAAAATACCTACATATTCCTGAAAAATCATAACTATCAAAATAGTACTAAACGCCTTACGCGTGAACTTACTGACTGGTGAAACGAGGTGAACAATGAGCGAAAATAGTGAGATCCGTAAAATACTGAGACCATGAGGATTGCTTTGACTCATAACTTGCACGGTGTTTCTAACCACGAAATAGTGCGACTTGTGAACCGAGTACGTAGACTCAGTGAGCTTCCGAAACCGCTGAGCTGAAATTGTCAACGCATGACGTAAGAAAAAAAAATGTACTCCATTATAATAGAAAACATTGCGGCTCTTTTTCCCCCTAGGCCTGCAAAGCCCGTTGTTTCATTTTAACGAGAATACTGGAAAAAAAAGTCCAGACCAAAATGGTCTTCACGCACAGGAGTAAATTGTTCGTGAACTCCGTCATTGTAGGGAGACGGTGCGAAGAAGAAGGAAAAATACCTTCATACCATAGAGAAAAAAAAAGGAGGTGTTTGCATTTCGGGCATCTTGGAATTTTTTTGATGACGTAGGTCGGTACAGCGACGTTTATCATCGATTTTCTTGGAAATGGTGTAATTTATGGAAAAAAGTCATTCTATAAAAAGTGCTTGAAAATATATCATGAGTTTATTTAAGTAAAAAAATCGGACATCATGGTCCGTTTTTCATATTTCGAATTCCGGATTTCACTGGCCAGGTTGTCCGACCTACGTCACAGGGTAAACAAACCTCAAGATTCAAACACCTCCTTTTTTTTCTCTATGCCTTCATACCATACTGCCGTGCTAAGGAAGAACGACGTATTAACATTCAAGAGTTGCTAAATTTCCTTCGATAAAATGTTTACTATCGAGGAAATACATGAATATTTTTCCTTGAGATTTTCAGGAACCTTAGTTGAAATTGCAAGCAAAATTATCGGAAAAATTAGAAGAAAAATATTCATAAGTGTAGCAGGAAATTCGCGATTTATCAAAGGAAATTTGGCAACGTATGAAGGTTCATACGGTGTTTTTCTGAGGCACGGCATAGCAGAGTGATGGGTGTAAACGAAATTGAATCTGTGAGTCAGCGCCAGGCAGACATGATGCGCAGTAGAACGAACTATTAGAAGAGGTCGTAAATAAATTTTTGGCTAAAACTGGAAATTTTGACGCTTCCTCCGCCACAATTTAAATTTTAAGAGGTGATTTTTGGAGGAAACTTCACAAGAAAACCAATGAAAGCACTTTTAAATCTCCACGTTTCTCACGAACAAAGATGTAATCTTTTATAATTTTTGTATCGTGTCCGTTGTCTGACTTCTCTCATTGGCTCGCTCCACTGAGTGGCGCTGTGCATAAGGGGTAGGGATGAAGGATCCGAGGGGGGAGCCTTCTCACCTACGGGAGTTTCCATACTTGGACGTATTTCTGTATCAAACGGAACTATGTGCATTAAGACATGAGCCCCGAGACCCATAAGAATATGTGCATAACAGGGCCAACGTCAAAATGCACATAGACCCGTTTGATAGAAATACGTCCATTTCAAAATTATGTACCAACTACTAAGCGAAGAATCTAGAACCAGAGGTGCTGTTAGTGTTGCTTTTAGCAATTACGAATATAGAGGAAATTTTCCTTCAAAATGATGGATCGCTTAACTTAGTGGGAAATTTCACTGGATAGTTTAAATTGCTTCATCAAAATCCCATTTAGAATCCGTCAAATCGATTTTTGGGTGCTTTCCTTAGTTTTTCCAAGGATATGTTCAGTAGCAACGGTCGATGGCGAGGAGATTTTTGCATTTTCGCATTTCAAGTAGTAAAAAGAAGAAAAGAGAAAGAAGAGGCCAGAGAAGAAGGAGATAAGAGAAATGATAAAAAGATAAGGAAGAGGAGAAAAACAAGGATTAAAGAGGAAGGGAAAGAAGAGAAAAGAAATGGGAGAGTAGAGGAAGATAAGAGAAAGAGGGGAATGAAAAGTGAAAACACAGGAGAGAAAATAAAGTAGCTTTTTTCGAAGAGGAAAATATTTCATTAACGGCTAATCAGTTCGCCTTCAATTTATAGTGTAGTCAAGACGAGCTCCCCCGTGGTCGAATAGTGGTATCGTTGTGGAACGGCACGCTCAGTTAGGACGCACACTTTAGTAAGAGCTTTTTATCAACAACGAGATCGACAAGAATCAATAAATGCGAACTGATCGACAAATATAGAGATAGATCGAGAAATAATAATAAAAAAAAACAGTTTCGTTTCCATTTTCAGATCGAATTATGTCGATCGAAACAATCCCGGTTCATTGTCCTTCTGTATTCCAGTGAAGCATTGAAATAACGAAGTGAGCGTCAATATCAAAATTATAACTTATGGCGAAGCATCTACTGCCGTGCTAAGGAAAAACGCCGTATTAACACTCAAGAGTTGCCACATTTCCATTAATAAACTTGCATTTTTGACAAAATTTATGCATATTTTTCCTTGAAATTTTCAGATATTTGAGATTAAATTTTGCACAAAATTGTCTGAAAATTTGGAAAAATAATATTCAGAATTTCCCAAGTAATTTCGGTTTTAATCGGAGGAAACTTGGCAACGTCTGAAGGCTCATACGGCGTTCTTCCTTAGCCCGGTAGTCTAGAACTGTGACTCTAGCGTGACGCGCAAGCTTATCGCTAATTTGCAATGTCGACTGTGATATCCCGCTGACCATTTCTCTATTACCTATGGATTAGAGCTTCCCTCTTGTTCGCTCTTGCCCCCGTGCAGAACTGCTTGAGGTTGCTTCAAAGGGTCCAGAGGATTTGAATCTTGGAATCAAGGATCTTGGAATTGAATTTCCAGAAATCTGACGCATGATGATGAAATTATTTTGGTTCTTTTTGGTATTCTGATAAAATCTAAGTATAGGAGCCGTAAAATGATTGTGAACACGTGCTGTTTCGCATGGTGTGACGTGAAACATACGTCCATTATTTGACGCAGCAGAATTTTCCACGCTAATGTGCGCATGCGACTCTGACAGAGTACTTAGGTGTAATGTAGCTAAAATCAATTTTTTTACCGCTCATTTGTTAGTCTATTTTTTTTATACCCGTGAATGCTACCTGGTAGGCATTTTATCGGCAGCACGAAGAAAATTCAGTGACATTTTCAAACAGATTCCACTAACAATTTCTCTGTGAAAAAATAAAATGGCGGCGGAAATTTTGAAACGTTGCATGGCGCTTGTGATAATTTAGCCGGAAAATGACGAGTTTTATGCCAAAGCTCTACGGCTGAGGCCGAATTTTGTTGGCCCTTCCACATATATATGAAGTCGCTCCTACAACGCACTCTATAGCCTAGGATGCTGCCATTGTGTTTAATTATATTTAAGATGAGTCTAGACTGCACTTAAGTCCAGCTTAGCGCTTCTGATGAGCCAGTGGTGCGGTTTGGAGTTGGACTCATCCATAGATGTTGCACCTCCAAGAGCCGACAAAATCGGCCCCTGACGTGCTTTTGAAACCTGAAGTAAAATCTTTAGATATAATTTTGACACTAACTCTGAAATTTCAAATGCGTCATCGTGGGCACGATCACATGAAGAAATAAAGAGCGAACATTTAAACCCCTAGATAGCCCACAAATCCAAGACGGTTTAAGATACTCTTCGCAGATTCGGTCATTCGTAAATGCCTCCTCTTTTGTAATTGACGGATCTACATAAGCAATGGAATTCGATTTTGAGCATTCGTCACCAAGAATTGTTCATTCATCTTTAATGTTTTATATACTAAAGTCACTCACTCACCTTTGATGGACGCAGAGATGAGCCTAATCAACTGGATCAGGAGAACTTGCATGGTGAGAAAACGGAGTATCCCATCCTAAAAACAATTTCCACACATGAATAACCTCACCTCACCCCACTGGAGAGAGAAATACATCCCACACGGTGGTTCAGATTATAACGTCACACATTCGAGCAGTCGGAGAGCACCCCTGAAAAAAACGTAATGCGGCGAAAATGTCGGGATTGTTTTCCATAAAAATTATTTGTAAATCTACACGAGGTGACTGAGCTGAAAACATCGTCTTTCGCGAAAAATCGTTCAAGCCCCACGCTAAAAAAAAAAAAAAAACTTTATACTAGACATTTGTCACGCCATCACAAAAACTTCCTCGGAGACCTCTCGTGCTGCGCGTGATTTTGAAAATCTAAAGTTTAAGTGCTCATTATTTGAAAGTAATGAGAGATGAGAGAGAGAGTTTACCCGACAGTTTCTCGTGACATGCGTTGTCTGCGTCATAAAACTCTCACGGATTGCGACTTCACCCAAGAAACTAAAAAAAAAATCGAGTCTGTACGCACTGCTTCGCTTACACTACCGTGCTGGGGAAAAACACAGCAAGAAAATCGGGGGTTGTCAAATATTGTTCGATAAAATGCTAATTTTTGAGTAGATATTTTTCCTGGGAATTTTTAGATGCATCAGACTGAGTTGCGAATAAAATTCTTCGAAGAACTGAAAGAGAAATATTCACAAGTTTCCCAGAAAATTAGCAATTTTTCCAAGAAAACGTGGAAATGTCCGAAGGTTCATACGGCGTTCTCCCTCAGTACGGTAGCGTTCTTTTTAGCTATTTTTACGTCATGCGTGCAAATCAACTTTCAGTAACGTTTAATCTAAAAACCCCTCTCATATAGCTTGAAGCACGAGCAAGGACTGGGTGCGAATTAGTGGTGAAATAATTAATTTTTTGTCATTTTATCGCGATGTCGATAAGTGCCTGAGCCGGCTTGAAATTTTTGGAATTTGCTTTCCCCGTAAAAAAGTGTGGACGGAGCACTATTTTACCACCTTGTTACGCACATCTTGAGTGATGAGTGCTATTTCTGAGTTTCTGTCACTGCATGAGTCAGCGACATTGTATCAAAAGTGAGCTGAAATGTACGTAAGTCTGGCCCAGGCTTATTTCATCGAGATTCTGCGAGTAGTATTAGTTAGTTTTCGGGCTACTGCCAACTATGGGCGATGCGGACAAAAATCTGTAAAAGACACTTAACTTTAAACAATGAATATAGTAACACCGACACAGGAAAACCCTTCGGCACTATCAAAGTAAAACACTCGAGAAATAAGGAAATGTTATTTTTCAGGATTTTTTGCGTGTTTTTCATGAAAAACTTCATTTGAAGTTCGCAACCTCGAATTATCCCTATGTTAACAATGTAAAAGCAACGTAAACACCCAAACCTTAACTTCAAATATCTCTGATAGTCGCAAAAAGTCGCAAGATCTTCGGTAGAATTGAAGTTGGATATCTGAGGATTAAGAAAATGTCAACCACCTAGAGAATTTTGAGTTTCAAGCGAGAAATCTTCATTTGAAGTTGACGTCTTTGTCCCGTGTGTTTCTTATGGACCAATGATTCTCGACCCATTTCCCGCCCACCTTCTACTCAAACTTCTACCCAAATTTGAAGTAGTTTTGAGCGAAAGATGTGGAAATGAACCATAATTGTATGTCAGAAATATCTTAAAGATGACAAACTCCAAAAAAACATATTCAGATGTCGAGTTGTGAATTTTTGATTTTTGTCTACAGAGGGCCGCACTAGGCGACGCGACGGTGCGCCTACATTTGGTTTTCATGCTGGCAGCAATGATTTCCACATTCAAAATACTTAACCCACCTCCGGAGGTGGGTCGAAAAGTGGATGAATGCAAATGCTGGCGAAAATTTACCAAGAATTTAGTTCTTGACCTCAGCAAGTCTTTTTCCCCTTTGATTTGCAACCCTGTCGATCTGGTTGAAATAGTCTACTGAATCTACTCGTATGGGAATTCCAACTTCATCTTCAACGTTTTGGATTAGGTAACATGATGAATATGTTTATGGACTTTCACAAGCTATATGCAATAAATTTTCTGATCTTGGCACTGAAAACTTTTTAAAGGCTCTTTGAATCCTCAAAATCCACTATATGATTTTTATAAACGAACGTAAAATTTTATCAAGTTTTCGGCTAGGGTGAACCTCTTAGGGCAAACATATAGCAGGAGTAGGCAAACATTGAAACATCGAACGCATTTTGCTTGGATTGGTTTCACTTAAAAACTTTGGCAAAAACCAGATCAACTACCTCTGGAAGCTCATTTCGGATGTTTATTTCTAAAAAATCTCTTTCTTATAACCTAAACTAAAGCTCCAAGCTCGTAAACTTATTCGAATACTTTCGTATTCGAGTAACTATAACTGGACTACATTTTGCAATTTGGAACTATAAATTCTAGCCCGGTTTAAAAACAACGTATGTGTCATTAGTTTCCCTATGCACATAAGTGTTTTTCCAGAAGAGCCAGAATTTGTAGTTCCAAATTGCCAAGTGCAGTCCAACTCATTCTCCAAAAGAATTGTGCGGAGGGAAATAAAAATGCGCACCAACGTCAATAACTCTGAAACCCCCTCTTGCATACGAAAATGAACCGAACGAAAGTGTGGAAAAAGAGGGCTTCCTAAAAACACACTTTATCTGTGTCGACTGACGTGATTGTTTAAAAGCCTTAAAAAAACAATACTTACAATCTAGAGAGTATGACGTCTCCCCATAATTTGCGACCAATTGTACCGAAGAACTGAAGTAATCATGATCTTCACATTTAATTCAAAACTCTATTTTTCCATTGACATTACACCAACTCCGCTCCTTGTAAGCGCGATATTCAGAAATTTTGAATGCAGATGGGTGATTTCATGATAAGAGATAGTCGTGTCGCCGTGAGTCATACGACAAAGGGCAAAACGATTGAAAACCAAGTCGATAAATCAGTATACTTGATGTTCCTGAACTTATCCATGCTAAAAAATATGACAAATTAATATTATATATAATAATATGATACTTTATAGGCCGAAAATGTCCGGTCGGTTACGCGTCGCCAACCCCAATTTTGAAGCAAAAGATCAATTTGCGGTAATAAAGCAGTACTGATCATGGATTCTTTGGCAATAATTGCTGAAAGGAGACTCTAATGTTCAAGAAAATTGCCATGTTGAACTGAAATGTTTATTTTTAAGCGAGATAAGTCATTAGAAAGAATGTCGCCACATTTGGCAACGTATTTTTGCAGTTGTATTAAGTGTAGTGTTTATCGCGTGGCACCGCAATCACACGCTGAATGTGGGAGCTGAATGTGGCTTGAATGTGGAAGTCATCGGCCCGATGCCTGAATTTAATTCAGCAACGATTCTCAGCAACCATCGGACCAATTTTGAATTTGTCTGAACAATTCGAGTAGATTTAATACACATCTGGATGAAAATAACTCGAATTTGCTCAATTTCAGCCGTTGGGCGATGACTGTTGACTTCCACATTCAGCTGCTAAATTCAGCGTCCGATTGCGGCACCAGATGAAACCAGGAGTTTCTAAACTGTAGTGACAAGTTTATTACAAAAATCACCCGCAATCAGTTCAACTTTTAAAATGAACTGATGGTCTGAGTTACACAACATTCACGGCATTTCATTTCCACAGTTAAGACTATGGGATTCTTACAACGGATGATCAATGCCTTTTACAGCTGTTTCATCAGCGATGGATGCAACAAGCTTTAACGACTCCACTTTTAACTTCCATTTGACAGTTTGACAACGACATTATAACAGAGTTTGCACAAGACACAGTGAAAAAAAGGACCCGCCTACGTTGAAAGATTCCACTTACACATGCAGCAGAATTTGTCAGGCTTGCAAAACGCGAGGTGTGTGGCGGGGCAGTAAGTGTGCAAAAGTGCATTTCATTTTCCAAAAAAATAGTAGTATTCCACGAGAGACCTAAATACTTACTTCTGAAAAAAAAATCAACCAAGTTGGTATACACTTGATATCATGTTAGTATCAACTTATTACCATGATGGCCGTCAATATGATACCAACATGATCGTTTTAAGGGGAGATAGAGCGGAGCATTACGAGTTCACGCCTAGCGCTATCGCGCCTTCAATTTTGCAGATACAATCCATTCAGCACGAACAGTTGTATGTCTGCGCCGCCGTCTTCATCGCGCATCCACCTCTATTCGCAGTACTGAGAAGTTACCGAGGAGTGCAGGAAAATCAATGGTTGAGTTCCGAGAAAAATCGAATCGAACACGATTGGATTTTTTTCAGAAGTAAGTATTTAGGTCTCTCGTGGAATACTACTATTTTTTTGGAAAATGAAATGCACCTCTGCACACTTACTGCCCCGCCACACACCTCGCGTTTTGCAAGCCTGACAAATTCTGCTGCATGTGTAAGTGGAATCTTTCAACGTAGGCGGGTCCTTTTTTTCACTGTGTCTTGTGCAAACTCTGTTATAATGTCGTTGTCAAACTGTCAAATGGAAGTTAAAAGTGGAGTCGTTAAAGCTTGTTGCATCCATCGCTGATGAAACAGCTGTAAAAGGCATCGATCATCCGTTGTAAGAATCCCATAGTCTTAACTGTGGAAATGAAATGCCGTGAATGTTGTGTAACTCGGACCATCAGTTCATTTTAAAAGTTGAACTGATTGCGGGTGATTTTTGTAATAAACTTGCCACTACAGTTCTGTAATAGTATAACACAGCAGCAAATAAAGGATGAAATAGTCATTTCCATGATTGTGGAAGAGTGCCTTAAATTTTCAGAAAAGATTGGCTCATTTTAATGCATTTAATATCAGCTTCTCCTCATGCGTAAAGGGCGTACATCAATCTCCACGTGAGCCCTTTTAGGCTACGACCGCCATCTTGGGTTTACGAATTTGGGAAATTTGACTAGAAAGAATCAACATCCGTTGAATTATACAAATACTTACGAGAATTTCTTAAAAATCAAGATAAAGGACTTTGCAATAATACTACGGAAATAATACTAATGTATATATTTATGAATGTTACTATACTACTGATCTATATTGACTCTCAAAAAAGGATTTGCATTTTATCTCAAATTATAATAGTCCCAAATGCTGTCCAAGTGCAAAGTATGCAGAAGTATTGTATGAGCATTACTACTTTACATGGATTTTTTAAAACAATCAATCCAGTTCATGAACTTATCAGCGAAAGTCGAATGGCACAAAGGAAAAAAATAGCAGGTATGTTTTTTTCGAGATAAACAAAGTTGATTTTTTTTATGTACCCCGTGTGTAAATGATTTCAGGAAGACTTAGTCAAAGAGCATGCCAGTAAAAATTTCTAAGGAAATACTACCAATCCTACGTTAAGACATTGAAAAAAAGAAAGTTCGGAAGTGCGGTAATTATTGATCATCGGAGATCTACAATATTGTTAAAACTGTTCTCAATCGTAAACGATAAAATTACCGAGTACCAGAAAAGAAGTCGATTAAAAGTTCAAAAATAAACCTGTAACCCCCATTTTCTCGGTTTGATCTTGATGCGACTTGGCATTAGGCTGATTCTGATTAAACTATCCAGTTGATTATCTACGGATGTCGACAGTGTTGGCGTTGACCGTCGGCAAGAAGAACGGTAGCTTCCTTCCCGTGGTCCAGAGTGTGCCATGCCCAGAGTTAGGATTCACAATCGACGTATCGGGAAACACGACGCGCCCCGGCGACTCACTCTGGAGCCTTTTCAAGAACTCCTGTTCGTTGCGGTCTTTGGACTCGGCGAGGCGCCACTGGATAAGCTTGTCCCGGGTGAGCTTGGTGCAAGTGCTCAAGAGGTCCAGGAACGTGATGAGGATGCGGTAGTAGGTCTGGTCCCCGGGGGCTCCCAGGTGGTCCAGCTGGAAAGATTGGGTCGGTACTAGGGCGCGTGAAAGGTCCAATAGGCTTGTCAGGTCGCGGGTGACAAGGTTCGGGGCGGTCGATGTGTCCACAGGTTGAGCATCGTGTGGGATGGCCGGGTCAACGCTGCGATACTGCAAGACATCTGCACCTGAAAAGAAGTATAAAACAATATTTTTATGTTATATTTTAAGCTATGGGAGAAAAACCAAAGCACATATGGATTGCATTTTGTAAAAAGGAACCAGGAGCATTCACATGTCTCTAAGATTGTGCAACTTTCTTTACCCTGCAAATCTAAACGATCATCTATACAAACTTTATCTTTCCTCTCAATGTGGTATGAATTCAAGAGGAATATTTTCCTTGTAAATATGATTTTTTTCATTTTTTCAGTAATTTTGTTGCAAAGAATGTATGTTGTACAATCCTGGCAACATTGGAATGGTCTTGGTTCCTTTTTGCAAAATGCAATCCAAATAGACAATATAGATAGAGACAAAATACTATCGAGACATCGCACTCTCCTTGCGAGCAATGTAACCCGATGAGAAAAATGCGGAGTTAGGAGTTAATTGATATAATTCGGTTAATGATGTTTGATGAGGAACTTGTTAAGCATATACTTCGCCTGAAGATGTTTGATAAATGTCCGGGCGAGTGCTTTGCCGAGCGTGATACTAATAAAAAATAAAATTAGGTCTATAACCAATCAACAAACACTTGGTGAGTATTTCTACAGACGCGCCGAGGCCATGTTGGACCACCTCTAACTCCTGCATGCAACTATTCGCGCTCGAAGGATGCCCGTATCGCATAAACACACATTTGAAGGCGCTCTGCCTGTCTTGCCGCATAGCAGGATCAGTGGGATGTTGCGCGCTGTTCTTGTTACTTGTCGCACTTACGTTTGCTGAACAAAACGGATTAACACTTTCGTCATCAGTCATCTTTTACACTGTAGGACAGATTGCAACGCAGGATCTCGAGATAAAGATCTATATTTACTCACAATGAGCCGTGACTGCGCTTAAGTTCATTCTGAGACTTCTAATTTGCTAGCGTTCTATATCAGCTTAAGATGTTGTGTTTTGAAGCAAAATTAAGCCCAATAAAATTCGTTCTTTCAAGAAACTGTGTACGTTCCTGAGTTATAATTATAACGGAGCACTAACAGATTTTTCGAGAGGAAATTGATGATACCTGTCAGTTGTACTAAAACTACCTTCATTGAAAGAATATAAATAATTCGTCATTGAATCGAGGCCCTGTGGCTCAAAATGGGGTTTCAAAGGTCCCCACACATCGAGTCATATTGGAAGTTGAGCCTGAACAAAGTTTTGGTCTGTATATTTCCTTAAAATATATTTTACAGACAAACAGACCGAATAATGTTCAATGCCACGCACGCATTCAAAACACCTTCGCAGAATGTATTTCAAGCGCGTCTATTCAAATATCAACACAATAATCATGATTTCAAGAATTGAAAATGGGAGAGGAATACCTGAAGTTGGATAGAGATTGGCGAGCGGTAGAAACACCGTCAGAGCAGCCACAAACAAAACAATATTGGGAGGCATTTATGGTAGATTTTCAATGTTAACGGAGCAACAAGTTGCAAGAATTTTTCTCCCGATACTCGCCTGTTCCATTCCGTCCTAAAAAGCGCTCTGGTTGCGCAGGTTAGTCACCGTCATGAATGTTGCCACGCTCTTCAGCAAAATCAACCATATCACAGCATGTGAATCTATCGAATGGCGTAACTGTGCATTGTGTGTCAAACAATTTGGCGCCAACCTACATTTCCTACATTCTTGAAATGTACAATGAATTTACTTCACTTATTCAAAACAAATTCGAAGAAAATTTCGAAAATAATTTACTGGTCGTTTATCTTGCATAACTTATCATGACATTAATACTATGGGAGATTTTCGAACGTTTCAATATCGATACGTATTAGCCCACTGTAGCCATCGTTATCATCCCTGGCACTGAAATAGACGTGAGTTATTATAACCGATTTAAGGGATGATTATTTACTTTAATATTTTAAATGACTGAGTCGAATTTGTCACCTCATCAAATTCCAAAGTTAAAATAACTTCAACCATAATACTTAAACAAAGCCGTTTTCACAGCGCAGCCTCGCGCTCTGCGACGCCCAATCGCCATTACAATAAGTGAACAGTAATAAAAATAAGTGTAAATCTATATGATTAACTTCATCGCTAAAAATTGACCAAAATAAATCCCTGAGCGTTTCGTTTAAAAATTGAAGTACATTTTCAGATTTAAGATAAATGTTTTGCATATCTAATTTTAAACAAATTGATTTTATCAAACATTGTTAATCTCATATTTGCCATTTTTTGCTGCAGCCTTGAACATTCAGTTAGAGTTGATGATCATCCAATTTTTTATAGTATATTGAAGGCTGCCGTGTGCCTTTCAACACTTAGAAACCTTTAATTTTTTCTCAAAAGAACTGTCCACGTCAAAAAAAATTTGTCGTATCTCGATTTCAAAAGTTCAAACCTCTTACAGAAATTTCAATCATCAGCAGAAGAGCTATCTAAATGTGGATTAATTTTTTGTCCCTGTGTCTGCCCTATCCCAGGTCTAAATGTCAATGGAGTTCTTACACGCAGTGAGAATTTTCATTTTAACTTTTTACTCCTATTTCACGTTTCAAAAGATCACCAACTGTGCTCACCGTTTTCCCGACATCAATGCTCAAGCTTAATAAAAATGAAACTGTAACACAAATCAAAGAGGTTACTTGGTCCGAGTTTATCAGAAAGGAACCAACCCTTATTTTCGAAAAAATTGAGCTAAGAATTATTTTTGACTTCCACTAGTCGTTTATTTTCTCCTGCCAATCTGAAAGTCGAAAAAAAAAATTAATTTTTGAAAAGAGGGGTTAACATTTATTTTCTACATTGACCCTTATGCAGGAATAAAACTTCAAACCTCTTTTTCTCAGCTTCAACTTAATGTGGGTTGGTGCCTTTCTGATGAACTCGGCCCAATTCTGCATCAATGCCGCAAAGAATGCTCGAAAATTCCAGGTATTGGCTCTGTGGAAACAACTCAAAATTAGCAGACGAAAATAAAATATTTCTAGGCGAGAGCTTCGAAATTTTCCCAGCCTTAGAAACGAAGCTCATTGAAAGCTCGCATGAGATCGTTGACCATGAAAATAATGGCTTGAACTTTTGACTCATTTCTCTTCGATTTCACAGAGACGTTACATTTAAAACTGAAAAACAATTTTCCTGACCCTAAATCGGTTATTCCGTCGTTATTCCATGTTTTCGTGACTTTTTGGGACAGTCGGCAAGCATGGCTCGCAAATAGTATTTCCATCGCGTGACCGCAAGTTCGATTGACAGTCGATTGCACCGAGGTAAAACTGGAAAAGGATTAAAAGCAGCTGACAGGTTTTCCATCTCTCTGACGTATTCGATTGTTCGTCCCATCGATTCTCCTTTTTTGCTTTCGCAACAGGTTTTACGTGCGTGAAACCGATGTATTTGAGTGTATTCGTCGTTTTACAGACAGAAGATCGTAACTATATTTCAACGTCGCAATATTACATTCGTAAATTCTAACTTTACCAGGAATTTTTTGGGAATTTCTGACTGAAAATTACATCGATTTTTCCTCTCATCGTACGCCAAAATTAAAAGAATTTTCGACGGACATTTCATAGTCATATATTCTTGTGAAAAATTGAATTTTTCTGGTCAATTTTGCAACATTGGAATGAAGTTATGTCCTTTCGTATAGGGAAACGACTCGTTGTTTGCTTCCGACAATAGAATACAGTTTTGTTTTCGTTTCAAGGTTAATTGTCAGGGACGAGTGCTTTTTAACACGCTCTACAATAACACTCGCCACAGTAAAAAAATTGTTTCACTATTTTTAAAAGTTTTGCTATAGAATGAAACATGCTAATCAAAATTTTCCAGATTACTACCCATGATATGTGCATATCGAAGAGAAACAATAGGCAATTTGCGGCCTACCAAACTACAACTCTATCGCGATATTTCGAGATGTACTCCAAATATTTCTAGATCGCGATGGTTCCAGTTCCTTCAACTGAGAAGAAAGACCGCACGCTATACTACAAATGAAAATCGTGGTTACAGAGGAGCCTCATTGTCATCCTCCGTTTAGGGAGACCACCTTTCCTCAACTAAAATGCAAATATCAAACGATGCAAATTTTGCATTTTAGGCATATATTTACACAAAATTACTTTTTCCGCAGCATAGAGTTTTTGTTTTAACATTCTTTCATATAAATTTGTAAAATCAATGTTTTTTATTGTGTATTACTAGACAAGTTATTGGGCAGCGCTTATAGAAAAGGAACCAAGTGAAATGATCAAAATAATTTAGTTAAGGATAGTTTTGAGCTCATTCAGAGGCATATTTGGACTTCTTTAAAACAAAAGGAAGTATATTCATTCTTCCATGAGCCCCGAGATTCATAAAAATGCAAGCATTACAGGACTTATGTCACAGTGGACATAGGATTGCTTTTGATTTAAATGCGTCAATATTCTTCTTTCATCAATCTAATGTTCGCGGAGGATAGTTAGCCCGGAAAGAGCGAACATAATTTTTTTTTTTTTTTTTTTTTGCATTAAATCTCATGGAGAAATGAAGCGTCAAACACATATTTTATTATGGTTATAAAACCATGTCTCCTGATCATTCAACTGCGAACATAACCAGTTATGATTCTTACACTTTTTCTAATTAAATTAAGTAAAAGTTGATATCTTGTCGTTTTTTAGGAATCAATGTAGCTTGCGCACGGTGAGTCGTGGTGTATATTATTCTTGGTTCGGTGTGACTCAGCGGCAATCACAGAGTTTATGACAACGCCTGGAGTGATACAACTATACCTGCTCAATGCTTGGCCGTGTTGCGTTCAGAGAAACGAAGGCGCTCCAGCTATCCTCACGGTTACAACGAAGCCCGCAGCGCAGTGAACTGTTGTCCAAGTCAGGTGGGGGGTGATGTCAGAGAGTAGTGAGAGGCAAGAGCAAAGGGTGAGGGAGCACTGCCCCCGCCCTTTCGCGTCACAGTGCTCTGCACGGTTGCACAATACCGCTGCAACAAGAACGCATGCAACGTTCGTTTATTTAAGTTTATATTTGCATAAACTTGCCGTCAGTCGAGGTGTTTGAAAAATAATTGAACAAAATGGCACACACGTCGAGCTCTGCATTTCACATTCACACGCAAAATTTCTTCTTACTTTTCATACTAATTCATTTTGTTTCATTTACTAACATAAAACTAAGCAGCATCAATACTTCAATTTTTGTGTTTTCTCGTAAATAAAGGAGAATTATTTCACCTTTCAAAACTTTATTTTACCTAATTCCCTGGGGAGGAGGAGAAGATGAAACAAAATAAAAAAGTTATAAACGCAAAATCAATAGACAATGACACTGACATTTTGGTAACACGTAGTTACACGTTAACACGCGTAGTTAGGCCCGTGGTGAAAGATTACCCGAAAGTAAGCCATTTTCACCGCTGCTTACGGGAGTGCCTCACGGAAGTTTACCACAAATAAGACCCAAAAAGCCGAGCTTTTTCAAAATATTAGGCCATTTGCAGGATAATGAGCCATGGCACCGAAAATCTCAGAATTCGGCGATTGGTAATATGTAGTATTTAAAAATTATTTTACAAACATATTTGAAATAATACCGTGAAATATTAACCAGAAAAAAAAGTTATGACGGTTTGAAATTTTGCAGCACCAAAAACTATGTGGTTCAAGACTTCTTAATTAAACCCTGATATGCAAATTCAGGTAGAAAGCTGAGAAAATGATGTTTGTTGTCAACATTTGTTGTATGAATGTGGATCAACAATTCGTCACCTTCCAGGCAAAGTATCACAAGCGCCATGCGACGTTTAAAAATTTCCGCCGCCATTATATTTTTTTACAGAGAGATTGTTCAACGAACCTGTCCGAAAATTACACCGAATTTTCTTTGTGCTGCCGTTAAAATTTAGTGAAATTTTCGAACAGATTCAACCAACAATTTCTCAGTAAAAAAATAAAATGGTGGCGGAAATTTTTAAACGTCGCATGGCGCTTGTGATACTTTGCCTGGAAGGTGACGAATTGTCAATCGACTACATCTTTAGGAAGCTGCATAGTTAGACGCCTCTATGATTATACGTTGAAAGAAGAGTCAAAAATAGTGTGTACGGCACTAAAGATTTCATGTCACACCTCGGAAGAAATTCTTTTCAGGTAACAATGAACGAATTTCATGACAGGTTTGGCAACGCATCTCCAAGAGGGAACATCGGGGCCAGCAAGGCGCCACATTATTCATGTGTTTACATGAGTACCGAGGGGAATTCTTCTTCCACTAGATTTCGTCATGGGAGAAATTGCGGGACGGCGGGTGGGAATGGGTGAGAGGAAATGAAGGAAGGTTGCAAATTAAGTAAAAACTCAACCCTCTTTCTTTGCCGTAATTTAACTTTGAAGAGTGTAACTGGAGAGTGAGTGCGGTTTTTGCAAGGTCGTGGGAATTTTGCTGCCATTGCAAGTAGTCACTTAGCCAGCCCACGTTAAAATTTCACGGGGACGTCTAGTTGAGTC